CCTCAGGCTGGGCCAGGGCAGCTCAGGGTGGGCACAGCAGGAACTTCCCCATGGAAAGGGTGCTCAGGGCTGGGCACTGCCCAGGGAGGGTTGGAGTGCCCATCCCTGGAGGGATTTAAAAGCCCTGTGCATGTGGCAGCTGGGGACATGGGGCAGTGCTGAGGAAGGGTCTGACTGGATGGGCTGGGAGGGCTTTTCCAGCCTCACCAATTCTGCTCCCATGGGATAAATCCACAAGAGCACATCAGGGTCTGGCAGTGAGCCAGGTCAGGTTTTGGTGTGGAGATGGGAGGATGTCATGAATGACTGAGGTGACAAGAAGAGAAAGGAAAGAATCTCTCTTCTTGTAGAATTTCCCAGTTGTTGGCATGAGGGGAAGACTTTCTCTGACCTTCACCCCTCAGGGGAAAGAGCTCTTGACATCCTGAGGGTCTCCTGGAGGCCCAGCAGGTCACGAGCTCCTTGCAGAGCTCTGTCCAGGTGGGATTTGGGTTCTTGGATGCCCAAGGGCAGTGTGGAGTCAGCACAGCCCAGTCCCATTCTCTGCTGTTTGCCATCCCCACGCTGCAGCTTCATTCAGGGGCTGGCTTGGATCAAGGTTTGCCATGGACAGAAGTTGGGCTGAGCATTCCTGAGCCTGGCTTTAGTGACTGTCCCTGAGCAGCAGAGCCTTTGAGCCTTGCTGCCTCCTGGCACGGGGGTTTTGCTCTCTGCAAGGCACACGTGAGCACAGCCCTGTCACAGTCACCATGAGCCTGATGTGAGACCCTGCAGTGGCTCTGGGAGGCTCTGCAGTGACCCTCCCCTGAAGATGAGTGGGGAAACTGCTTTGGGAGGCAAAAACTGTGTGAGAACTCAAAAGGATCCTGAAGAAGCTGTAAGAGATTCCACCAGAGGCCGGACTGGGCTGTGGCGTGTTTGCCATCCCCATGCTGCAGCTTCATTTGGGGGCTGGCTTGGATCAAGGTTTGCCATGGACAGAAGTTGGGCTGAGCATTCCTGAGCCTGGCTTTAGTGACAGTGTCCCTGAGCAGCAGAGCCTTTGAGCCTTGCTGCCTCCTGGCACGGGGGTTTTGCTCTCTGCAAGGCACACGTGAGCACAGCCCTGTCACAGTCACCATGAGCCTGATGTGAGACCCTGCAGTGGCTCTGGGAGGCTCTGCAGTGACCCTCCCCTGAAGATGAGTGGGGAAACTGCTTTGGGAGGCAAAAACTGTGTGAGAACTCAAAAGGATCCTGAAGAAGCTGTAAGAGATTCCACCAGAGGCCGGACTGGGCTGTGGCACTGACTGCAGGCAGTGAATGTTAACCCCATGGCTGCTGTCTGAGACAATTCCTGTTTGGATCCTGCAGATGAGAAGGAGCCAGAGATCACTGCCAAGGTGGGCACCCTCAAATGGAAGCAGCAGATGAGGGAGTTCCTGGAGCACCTGCCCAAGGACAACTACGACGACGTCTTCACCGCCACGCCCTTCCAGAAGAGGATGGTCCAGGTACACTGGGACAACAGCTCCTGTGGGACTGCTCCTGCTGGGTGTGCTGGGGGCTGCTCCAGTTCCACCAGTACAATCCTGGGCATCTGGGGGAAGATACTTCTTTACTTCACGTGCTGTAGCAGCCCTTGGCTGGTGGCACTGGACAGGCTGGGAGGATCCTCTGCATGGTGACAGCAGCACCTGAGTAATCATCCTTCTGAGCAGTCCTGGGCAGTGTGGAGCTTGGGATTGTAACCAGAAATGACTTTTTGAGGGTGTGGCAGCACCAAAGGGGGGTCTGGAGGGGCGCTCGGACCAAGGTGGAGGTGCAGGGTCGGGGGCTGGGGCTGTGCCTCTGCAGGGACAGGGGGAGTCAGATCCAGGGCAGGCAGGAAGGGAGGGACTGCTGAAGGGGGAGAGAGGCACTCCAGGCTCAGGTGACTGACAGCTCTGACGTGGCTCTACAGCTGCCAGCACTGCGGAAGAGCCAGGACGGGGACAGCGAGGATTTCGCCCTCTCAGAGTTCCCACTCACCCCTTCCCCAGGCCTCTTTCCCCCTGTGAAAACTCCACAGTGTGCACACATCAGCCCGGGAATGCTGGTCCCCATCAACAGGTAGGAGCTCCTCCACCAGCCCTTTGTGAGCCTGGGCATTGCCCCAAGATCCCTTTTTGTCTCTGAGAAAGGTGGCTTTGGAGCTGGGACAGCAGCTCACTTCCAGCCACTCCTGCAGCCTTGGTTTGCCTGGGAAAAGCTCTTCCCTGGAGCTCCATGTGCTGCTGGAGCTGCTCTGTGGGCAGCTCCTGCTCCCAGCCCTGGGCATGGCCCTGGCTTGGGCTTGGCCTCAGCAGAGCCTTCAGTCCTGCCCTGTTCCCCCAGGGCTCCAGGCTCTGCTCCAACAACTGGAACCATCTGGGAACCTGGAGCCACTGGGGTTTTGTGTCATGGACACGGGCTGGGCCTGGGAAGGGGATGAGGCTGCTGTGATCCCTGCACTGGGATTTGCAGCCCGTGATCCAGCCCTGCCCGTTCCCTGAGGGAGCTGGAGCCCTGTGGGCTCCCTGGCTGCAGGCAGAGGGTTCCATGGCAGCATTGCAGCCCCACTGAGCCTGCTCCCCTGTGTCCCAGGAACGACTGCGACCGGCACGTGTTCCGCATGCAGAAGAAAATGCCGGGCAACAGAGGCACCTGGAACATAGTCAAGAAGAAGCAGGTACTGCTGCTTTCCTTGGACTCTGCCCACTGCCACCTGAGGCAGGCACAATCCTGGGATCACAGCCCCTGTGTGCTCTGGCTGGAAAGTGGGAACCCTGCCTGGGTGTGGTATCTGCTGCTGTAGAGAGAAGTTCCTTTGTGAGAAGGGAGCTCTTCAGTGTCAGGATTAACTCCATTGCTTTTAGTCAGGATGTGGAATTCTGTGGTCTTTAGGTTCTCATTAAATACTTCTGAACAGTGGGAAAAGGAACAATACCCATAGAATGTCCTGAGGTACCCATAAGGGCCCCACAAGGATCACCCAGTCCGACTCCTAATCGTGACCATAAGTCAACCTTGTATCCCTGAATTTAGGCATAGATTGCTCCACTCTCCCAGGCTCTGCAGCTCCTTTGGCTTCTCCGCAAAACCCTGTGGTCCTGGGAGCAGCTTGTGCCTGCGGTTCAGGGAAAGCAGTTGTGGAAATTCTGGGAAATGGGGACCCTGAGCTGGTGCCAGCCCTGGCTGAGCCTCTTTCCTTCCCTCCCTCAGGCTGGAGCTGTGCTTGAGACACCGGCTTCCTGCAGAACCAAGAGTGAGTACTCCTGGCTCCTCCTCCTCCTTTCCAGCTCCTTCCCTCCCTTCTCCATCACCTTGAGCTGTGTCCCAGCAGCCTTTTGCTCTCTGAACCTTCTCTGTCCCCATTTCCCACTGGGCCATCCCCTGATGATCCCTGGTGTTATTGCAGGAGTGACCCCGGCCCCACTGGTGGGGAAGCTCTTCACAGCTGAGACTCCAGACTCGTGCAGTGAGGAGGAGAAGGAGGATTCCTACTTTTCCATGTGATGGCCCTTGTGGATATCTTGCTCAGCACCTCCTACTTTTCCATCTGATGGACTTTTTGGATTCCTTGTTCAGCACCTCCTGCTTTTCCATCTGATGGACTTTTATGGATGTGCTGTTCAGCAGTCACTGTTCAGAGCATGGGCGTTCTGCTGCCCCTCTGGGAGGGAATGCTGGAATGATTTCAGTTTGGAAAAGCTGTCCTGCTGTGTTAACTCCATTCCCACCCTGCTGGCACTGCTTGGCTTTTCCATGTGTACAAAGTGGCATGTCCTTGTCCAGGCTCCTCCCCTCCGTGTCCTGTTTCTCCTGGGAAGGAGAAATGTACATAGATACCAATGGCTGCCAAGTTCTGATTCACTTCAAGCTAAAATATCTTGTGAGATAGGGCTGAATAATAAATTTAGCAGCAGTCCAGAAGGAGCTGAAATTGCTTTTAAATTTACTCTAGGGACAGCTTGAATTTTTACTTTTCCTTAATGTAATAAACAAGGAGAAGCTTTTTTACTCACAGACTGCTCAGAGTTGTGGGGCAGCAGAATTCAGGAGCTGTCCAGCTTGGAATGGTGCCTGCAAGGCTTCATCCTCTTGGTTTGGAATCATGGAATGCTTTGGGTGGGAAGGGCCCTCAAATTCCACCCAGTGCCAGCCCTGCCGTGGCAGGGACACCTCCCACTGTGCCAGGCTGCTCCAGCCCCAGTGTCCAGCCTGGCCTTGGGCACTGCCAGGGATCCAGGGGCAGCCCAGCCAGCAATTCCCAGTTCCCAATCTCCCACCCATCCCTGCCCTCTGGCAGTGGGAGCCATTCCCTGGCTCCTGTCCCTCCATCCTTGTCCCCAGTCCCTCTGCAGCTCTCCTGGAGCCCCTTCAGGCCCTGCCAGGGGCTCTGAGCTCTCCCTGGAGCCTTCTCCTCTCCAGGGAACATTCCCAGCTCTCCCAGCCTGGCTCCAGAGGGGCTCCAGCCCTGGAGCAGCCCTGTGGCTTCCTCTGGCCGCTCTCGAGGGCTGGGGCAGCTCTGCAGGGTCTCCCCTGAGCGGGGCCGTGGCTGACCCGGCTGCCCAGGACAGCTCCTGCTCCAGGGCTGGATTTCTCCCTGTCCCAGCCTCTGCCCGGAGAGCGGGAATGCCGATCCCGATCCTTTTCCAGCTGGTGGCAGCAGAGGCTGCGGCGGCGGGGCTGGGGGAGGATCGGGCACCTGAGCCCGGGCAGAGGCACCAAGGGCCGGGACCCCAGAGCCCCACCCCTGTCCGGGAACACGGAGCACCCGGCCATTCCCGTTCAAGGGCAAACGCGGGGCTCGGTGCTGCAGTGATGGCAGGAGCTGCTGCTGGGCTCTCGCCGTCACTGCCCAAAGCTTTGCCCGAGGACTCGAGCCATTATTGTGGATTTTACAGGAATGGGGATGCTCACCCCAGCCCTGCCCCAGAGCTGTGCCCCCCCGGCCCGGGGACCCTGGGGACACACAGGGCAGTGCAGCTCCCACGCCCTGAGGTTTGACAAGCATTTATTACATCATGTACATCCAATCCCGGCTGGGTAAAGTGCAGTGCAGGGCCTGAGTGCCGAGCTCAGCTCTTCCCCTTGGCCGGGGGCTGAGGCAGCAGCTGCAGGTCGAAGTCGTGGCGCAGGAACCGATGGAGCTCCTCGGCCTGGGGCCGGCTCAGCCGCGCCCCCGCCGCCAGCGCCGGCACCGAGCTGCAAGACAGGAACGGGAGGAGCCTGGAGCCGGGATGGGGCAGCACCGGGAGCCTGTGGAGCCGGGATGGGGCAGCACCGGGAGCCCGGGATGCAGTGCCAGGGATGGGGCAGCACCGGGAGCCTCTGGAGCCCGGGAAGGGGCAGCACCGGGAGCCCTGGAGCACTGCCAGGGATGGGGCAGCACCGGGAGCCCCTGGAGCCAGGATGGGGTAGCATCGGGAGCCTCTGGAGCCCGGGAAGGGGCAGCAGGAGGGAGGGTGGAAGCAGAGCCCGTGTCAGTGCTCTGGGCTGCTCAGCAGGAGAGACAGGAATGTGCAAAGAGCTGAGATGGGACAGGAAAGCTCCTGGGAGAGGGTGGGAAAGGCTCTTCCTGAGCAGTGATCCCGGCAGGAAGGGATTCCCTGCACAGCTATCCCGGCAGGAAAGGTGCAGGAAGGCTCTCCCTGGCTCCAGGGGAGCAGAAGCAGGGAAGGTGGGCCCCGGACCCCCTGGCAGGCCCTGTGCTGGCCCTACCTGTTGGCCACAGCTGTGATGGAGCCGAAGGAGTGGCAGAGGTTGAGGGCAGCTCCGTAGCTGAGGTTGGGAATGCTCAGGTAGAAGCTGAGGATGTCCCGGCGGTGCCCCTCAGGCTCCGTTGGCACCTGGATGGCAGCGTCCTTCCTGTGCTCCAGCAGAGCCAGCTCCTTCAGCAAAGCTGCAGTTTCCTCCTGGCAGGAGCTGAAGAGGATCCTTATTCCAGCCTGCACCAAGGCTGAGAGCACTCCATCGTAGTACTGGGTCCTCTGGAAACACCGGGATGTTTCTCCTGAGGAGTGGAAGCACAGGAAAGCAAGACCTGCTATTGTCTAGTGGAACCATTGCATTGCAGGGTTTGGATTTTTGGATTAAAACAAATGCCTGTGCATGGATAAAATTGTGCTTGCTCCTGACATGGAATCCCACAATGGTTTGGGTTGGGAGGGAACTTAAATCCCATCCCATCCCAGCCCTTTTTCATGGCAGGGCAGGGACACCTCCCACTGTCCCAGGGTGTCCCAGTGTCCAACCTGGCCTTGGGCACTGCCAGGGATCCAGGGGCAGCCACAGCTGCTCTGGCAATTCCAGCCCAGCCAGCAATTCCCAATGTCCCACCCATCCCTGCCCTCTGGCAGTGGGAGCCATTCCCTGTGTCCCTCAGAGCAGGGCATTCTGGCAGCACCCACCTGGCCTGACCCTGTCTGTCTCCACAATCACACAGATCCTCTCGAAGATGCCCTGCAGGCGCTGCAGCCTCTGGCTGAGTTTATTCCTGTTCCCAGGGCTCTGCAGCTCCGACTGGAGCAGCCTGTCCACGGCCAGGCGGTTGCTGACGATGTAGTCGCTGGTGCCCAGGGAGCAGACCTGCACCCGGAGCCCGTGCACGGCCCGCAGGCACGAGAGCACCTCCGGCCCCGAGCAGATCTCCCGGCTGTCCGCCAGGATGCACAGGGAGCAGCCGTGCTCCCCGGGAACGGGGCAGATCCCGGCCGGGGAGCGGCCGTGCTCCCCGGGAACGGGGCAGATCCCGGCCGGGGAGCGGCCGTGCTCCATGGGAACGGGGCAGATCCCGGCCGGGGAGGGGCCGTGCTCCATGGGAACGGGGCAGATCCCGGCCGGGGAGGGGCCGTGCTCCCCGGGAACGGGGCAGATCCCGGCCGGGGAGCGGCCGTGCTCCCCGGGAACGGGGCAGATCCCGGCCGGGGAGGGGCCGTGCTCCCCGGGAACACTGGATATCCGAGCTGTGGCTGAGGAGGAGTTTGGGACAGCAGGACACACCGAGCCTGAGCTGCTCCCGTGGGTCTTCTTCAAAGAGCTGTACACCTGTGAGTGTTGAAAATCACAGATCATGGGGGTTTTACATCAAATCAATAAAAGGATGTTTTGCAGAATCAACACTTTCAGATTGACACTTCAATCCCTGTATCAGTCTCCCCACTGAGCTGAGCTGATTATCCCAGAGTTTGGATGACAAAAGCAGCAGCTTTCACTAAGAAGTTCAACAAAACCTGGATCCTGTAAAGGACAGAGATCGGGCTGGGAAGTGTGAGAGATCAGGAACCCAACCTCAGGGAGGTGCTGAAAGCTCCGAATTCAGACAGAACCAGGATTTTCTAATACAAACCCAAAGAATCAGTGCACACTGCTGTTTCAGACAGATCCACGATCCTCCATGACTGTCAGACCAAGGGAGAACCTAACCCCAGTTTTAATTTGTTTAATTCCAGGTTACCCTGGGAGTACAAAGCTTCCAGCGGCAAGGAGAGGGAGATGGTCCTGGAAATGTCCAAGGCCAGGCTGGAAGAGCCTGGTCCATGGCAGGTGTCCCTGCAATGGGATGGGCTCTAAGGTCCCTTCCAGCCCAAACCATTCCATGGTTCCCTGACTCCTGCTGCTGCCAGCCTCAGAACAGCCCTGGCACAGGGATTCTCTCCCACCAGGAAGCTCCCTGCTTTCCCTGAGCACTGACCTCAGCAGCAGCCTGCAGATCCGTGCTCCTGCAGCCAGAGCCAGCTGGGGGGATGGATGAGCTCCTGCCTGCCTGCTCTGGGGGGGGATCCAGCATCCCAGACACCGAAGGTTCCAGGCCCAGCAGCCTCTCCGTGTCCTGCCCCCCAGCCTGAGGAGCTGTGTCTTCCTCCCTGCTCCCGTGCTGTGCAGAGGGGGCTGAGGGCAGAGCCCTGGGGAGCTGCCCCTTGCCCTGCCCTGCTTCCAGGGGGTTCTTCCTGTGGACTCCTGCCTCCTCCTCCTCGCTGGAGTCACTCAGGACAATGATTCGGGAAGGTTTTTTCTTCTGCCCCGGGGCAGGAGCGTTCCCTGGCAGCCGGGCCTGGCCCAGCCTCTTCCTGCGGCGGGTCAGGTACTGCCTCCTGCCGCTGCTGCAGCCCTCCGTGGGGAGCAGCTCAGCATCCACACACAGCTCCTCCTCACTGGGAGCCTCCTCCTCCTCCTCCTCATCCCCCACGCAGAAACTGTCCTCGGCATAAGCCACGTCTTGCTCGGGGATCTGGGGGGAAACAGAGCCAGGGAGTTTTGGAAAAGTACAATGGTTCTGCTGCTCCTCACCAAAGGGCCCTTGGCTTATCCAGCCCTGCCCACACACAAATATGGGGCTGAGGGGCTTCAATCCCACCCAGTGCCACCCCTGCCATGGCAGGGACACCTCCCACTGCCCCAGGGTGTCCCAGTGTCCAGCCTGGCCTTGGGCATTGCCAGGGATCCAGGGGCAGCCACAGCTGCTCTGGCAATTCCAGCCCAGCCAGCAATTCCCAGTTCCCAATCTCCCACCCATCCCTGCCCTCTGGCACTGGGAGCCATTCCCTGGCTCCTGTCCCTCCATCCTTGTCCCCAGTCCCTCTGCAGCTCTCCTGGAGCCCCTTCAGGCCCTGTCAGGGGCTCTGAGCTTTTCTTGGATCCTTTCCTTCTCCGGGCTGAAGTTTTATGTTGGAACTTGTAATTTACCAAAAAAAAGGCTGTAACTGCTCTTCAAAGCAGGCCAAGAACTTCACTGTGGCCCACGAGGAGAGGTCCCCAAGGAGAGGAGCCCCTGCCCTTCCCACCTGGGAGAAGACGGCCGAGGGGCTGAATTCCCCATGGACCATCTTGAAGCGGCTGCCGAGGGCGGGGCTGCGCACGGAGCTCAGGTAAACTCCCCTCATCTCACTGTCTGAAACCACAGCGGGAAAAACAATTAGTTCAGGGTTAGTACAGAGAGAATTTTTCATTCACACCAGTTATGCTGTGTTTTGCATGTTCCTTTATGGTTTCCCAAAAGCCTGTGTTTCCCAAAGCAAAAATCTGCAATTCTCCAGCCCTTTCCAGAAATCCCAAAGGCCAGGCCCAAGGCTTTGAGATGAAGGAGGGCAGGGGTGGATGGGATATTGGGAAGGAATTCCCAGATACTGGGAAGACTCCCCAGAGCAGCTGTGGCTGCCCCTGGATCCCTGGCAGTGCCCAAGGCCAGGCTGGACACTGGGGCTGGAGCAGCCTGGCACAGTGGGAGGTGTCCCTGCCATGGCAGGGCTGGCACTGGGTGGGATTTAAGGTCCCTTCCCACCCAAACCATTGTGGGATTCCAAGTGTACCCAGCCTGTGTCATGAAAGCTGCCATTCAATCCCAGAATATCCTGAGCTGGGACCCACAGGGATCATCCCAAACCCATTGCTGCCCAGACCAATCCCACCCTGGGCATCCCTGGCAGCGCTGGCCAAAGGCTCCTGGAGCTCTGGCAGCCTCAGGACTCTGCCCATTCCCTGGGCAGTGCCTCTGGGGGCAGAACCTTTCCTGATCTCCAACCTGAGCCTCCCTGGCCCAGCCCCAGCTGCTCCCTCAGGGTGCAGGAGGTTTTCCAGGCTGGCAGAGCCCTGGATGCTGTGGCAGGAGCAGCTCCTGAGCCCGGGTGAGCAGGTCACTGCTCCCAGCTCCCACCCCAGGCATGCCCTGGCTCTGGGATGCTCTGGGAGTTCCCCACTCACCGTTGAGGGCCTGTGTGGTTTCCCCTTCATCGTTCAGGAACTGGGCCAGGGATGAGCTCAGCTCCTCCCCAGAGCCGTCGCTCTCGTCCGACGAGATCCCCTCAGCATCCAGCAGGGACAGCTCGGCCTCCTCGTCCAGGAACTGCCTGGCAGCAGCCTGCACAGCCAGGCCAATTAACAGCTGCCCCTAATGAACAGCACTGCCCCTGCACAGCCAGGGCAATTAACAGCTGCCCCTAATGAACAGCACTGCCCTTCGAGCCCTGCCCAGTCACCCGGGGCTCCAGCAGCGCCTGGAGCAGCGCAGGGATCCAGACTGGGCAGGGGATCCACTGCTGGGCAGGGAATGGCACAGGGTGCCCAGCACAGGGTGACAGCACAGGGTGCAATGGCACAGGGTGCCAGCACAGGGTGACAGCACAGGGTGACAGCACAGGGTGCCAGCACAGGGTGCCCAGCACACACAACGGGTCACTCTGTGACTTATAAATCCGATTTTACTCATGTTGTTTGCTTTCAAAAATCCGGTTTGATTTTGGATTCCTGCAAACCCAAGTGCAGCAGGAATTTCAGGCCCAGAGCCCACCCTGGTTTGCCCTTTTCTGCTCAGGATTTAGGACTCGTCAAACAATGATGGTGCAAACACCTCAGATGGTGCAGCTCAGCCCAGGAAGATGAGGCACTTCCCTTGTGACTGCAGGGCAGGAGACTTGATCCCAAATTCTACCAAAACTCTGCCAAGGTCATACACAGAAACAAAACAAGTTAACTCAGGAAGGTGTTTTGTCTGCGATACTTTACATTAATTTCATTTTTCTCCTGTAATTTCAGCTATAAAGTACTAAAGTAAAACTGGGTGCCAGCACTGGGTGCCCAGCACACACAACGGGTCACTCTGGGACTTATAAATCTGATTTTACTCATGTTGTTTGCTTTCAAAAATCCGGTTTGATTTTGGATTCCTGCAAACCCAAGTGCAGCAGGAATTTCAGGCCCAGAGCCCACCCTGGTTTGCCCTTTTCTGCTCAGGATTTAGGACTCGTCAAACAATGATGGTGCAAACACCTCAGATGGTGCAGCTCAGCCCAGGAAGATGAGGCACTTCCCTTGTGACTGCAGGGCAGGAGACTTGATCCCAAATTCTACCAAAACTCTGCCAAGGTCATACACAGAAACAAAACAAGTTAACTCAGGAAGGTGTTTTGTCTGCGATACTTTACATTAATTTCATTTTTCTCCTGTAATTTCAGCTATAAAGTACTAAAGTAAAACATCAAATTAGCCCCAAAAATATCATATATCTCCTTGACTCTAAGAGAATGGTTTGTTTGCCATAAAACACTCATATCATAAGGGAAGTCTTAATAATGAAGATCATTGTTAAAAAATTAAAAAGTGTCCAACATATGGTGCCCTGGAGCCCTGATTGTGGCAATTTCTGCCCAGTGCAACCACAGCCATGAATATTTAAGAGCTTTTAACTTCAGTAAGTCTGGTGCTGCCTCCCCTCCTGCCTCCATCCCTGCTGAAGTGTTAAACACTGAGCAGAGATTTAACATTTGGGGTTGAGGGACCATTGCTGCCTTAATGCCCAGGGCTGATCCCCATGGTGGGGATCACCCATGTGAGCAAGCAGCCCGATCCTGATTATGATGATAATAATAATATTATTACATTTTTATTATAGTTCTTGATTTATTATTATTATTATTATTAGTATGTTATTTTGTTAAACTATATAAATATAATTGATATATTATTCTAATATAACATACAATCCCAGAATACCCTGAACAGGAAGGCATTAATAAGGAAATTAATATAATATAATATAATATAATATAATATAATATAATATAATATAATATAATATAATATAATATAATATAATATAATATAATATAATATAATATAATATAATATAATATAATATAATATGTAATATTTTTACTATAATTTGTTATTATAATAGGGGGTTTGTTTTGTTTTGTTTTTATGCTTGTTTGGTTTTGGTTTTTTGGGGGTTTTTTTGGTGGTTTGTTTTTTTTTTGGGTTTTTTTTTTTTTTGGTGCTGCCTCCCCTCCTGCCTCCATCCCTGCTGAAGTGTTAAACACTGAGCTGAGATTTAACATTTGGGGTTGAGGGACCATTGCTGCCTTAATGCCCAGGGCTGATCCCCATGGTGGGGATCACCCATGTGAGCAAGCAGCCCAACCCTGATTATGATGATAACAATAATATTATTACATTTTTATTATAGTTATTGATTTATTATTATTATGTTATTTTGTTAAACTATATAAATATGATATATTATTCTAATATAACAATCCCAGAATACCTTGAACAGGAAGGCATTAATAAGGAAATTAATATAATATAATATAATATAATATAATATAATATAATATAATATAATATAATATATAATGTAATGTAATATTTTTACTATAATTTGTTATTATAATAGGGGTTTTTTTTGTTTTGTTTTTATGCTTGTTTGGTTTTGTGGGTTTTTTTTGTTGTTGTTGTTGTTTGTTTTTCTTCTGGACAGGACCTGACTCCTCTCAGGGTGTCCCTGGAGCTGCCCTCTGGTTTCACAGCTGTCACCCAGCCCGCAGCCCCCTCTGCCCCAGCATTCCCAAATTCCAGCTGCAGAGTTTGCCCGGAGCTGCAGTGGGAGGGCAGAGCCCAGCCCCACGTGGCAGCTGCTCCGAGCTGGGCTGGGTGTCCCGGGGGACACGGTGGCACCCACCTTGGCTGTCACACAGCTCCTGGCGCGTTTGGCTCCTCCCGGCCGGGGCCCGGCCCTGGAGCTGCTCCTGCCCCGCTGGAAATCCCCACTGTCCTCACTGGAGGTGTCCGACTGCAACGGGAGCACACGGAGAGCAGGGCTGCAGCAAGACACCTCCCAGAACCACTGCACCCCGGCTGGGGGCTGGGAAGGGACACTAAGGCTGCCCCAGTGCCACCCTGCCACGGGCAGGGACACCTCCCCACAGCAGGGCAGGAAAATGGGATTTGGAAGGAAAATCAGCTCCAACGTGCCATGAATTTGCTTTTTGTGGCTCAAAGCTCTGTGGCAGGCAGGTTGTTCCACCCCTCCTGGCTGCTGCAATGTTTCACTGCCAAACAGCTCCAAAGTCACCAAGCCCTGGATCCCTGGCAGTGTCCCAGGCCAGGCTGGACACTGGGACACCCTGGGACAGTGGCAGTGTCCCTGCCATGGCAGGGTGGCACTGGCTGGGCTCTGAGGTCCCTCCAACCCAAACCACTGTGGGATCCTGTGATGTGTGGAGACCCTGGGGAGGAACTGGAGGGGAGAGGAGGGGGTTCCCAGGATTTGTGCCCATGTCTCTGCTGACCACGTTCGGGGGGCGCCGGCGCTTCCTGGTGACCCGAGCTGGAGACTCCAGGTCGCTCTCATCCATCCCCTGTGGGAGCAACACCAACATCAGTGCACACACAGTTTGCCTTTTGCTGTTTAAATTGCCATTTTGATTCCCTTGTCTATTGTTTTTTTTTTTCCTCTGAGACTCACATCAGGAGACTTCAAAACATTCTTTTTCATCCTGTTTTTTCTCTGGAAAACGATCTCTTCCTCGCTGTCACTGCTGGGTCCTGCAGAAAACAGAATAAACAACATTCACCAGAATTGCACAGCTCCCAACACAATTTTGTTAGAGCTGAGCAATCAAACCCTGCCTCTCTCAGAAAAGCACCTCCAAAGGAGATTATTTATTGATCTACAGGGCAAATATTGTTCTCTTCAGCCTTGTTAATCAAAAGAGATAATCTCCAGCTGGGATGGACAATAAATCCTGCTTCCCCGGAGAGCCCCGGGGGAAGTGATTACCCCAGGCAGCAGAGGCAGAAAAAGGGAAGAGAAGCAGGACAAGAGAAGAAGCCATTAAAAGATGAGCAAGAGCCAGAATTGTGGCAGCACTTTGTGACACAAATCCCTGTGACAGCACTGAGGGGGGCTGCAAACGTCACTGCCAGAGAGGCCATGGATGCTGCAGGGCTGGAGCCAGGCTGGGAGAGCTGGGAATGTTCCCTGGAGAGGAGAAGGCTCCAGGGAGAGCTCAGAGCCCCTGGCAGGGCCTGAAGGGGCTCCAGGAGAGCTGCAGAGGGACTGGGGACAAGGCATGGAGGGACAGGACACAGGGAATTGTCTCCTCATTGACCCAACTTCCAGCATCACAGCCCAGAGAGGCCATGGATGCTGCAGGGCTGGAGCCAGGCTGGGAGAGCTGGGAATGTTCCCTGGAGAGGAGAAGGCTCCAGGGAGAGCTCAGAGCCCCTGGCAGGGCCTGAAGGGGCTCCAGGAGAGCTGCAGAGGGACTGGGGACAAGGATGGAGGGACAGGAGCCAGGGAATTGTCCCCTCATTGACCCAACTTCCAGCATCACAGCCATTTTTCCTCTTCCTTTCAACCTTCCCACCTCAGCCATAAAACCAAAGTGAGGACCCAAAAGATCCTGGATCCTGTTTCCTATGCATGAAGGTCTAACTCCTGTCCCACCAAATTCCCTACCTGCAGCATGGGATCCATGGAGGTTGGTGTTTTCCAGGCTTTCTGTCCTTCCTGGAGGTGAATCCATGGCTGATCTCCCAACGTTCTGCCTCCATGGGCTTTCTCTGCCTTGATCTACAGGAGGCACCTCTGGAATCTGCTCCCTGGCGTTCGAGAAGACTTTCATAGAAATTCTTTTGGCAGCTTTGATATTCACACCCTTCCTGCTTGTTGGGGTCAGAAGTGCTGAGGGCAAAGGTTCGGGGGGTTCCCTTCCCCTTCTGCTGCCTCCTGACTCGAGGCCAGGCCGTGCAGCAGGAGCCCCCCCGGCCCCCTCCCTGCCACCCCTGCCCCAGCTCTGCCGTGACAGCGGTGTGGACACGGCCCTCCTCTGAAGCCTGCTGCAGTCCCAGCCTGGCGAGGTTTCCAGCCTGGAGCCATCTCCCAGGGCTGTCTCTGCGCTCCCCGGGGCCCCGTTCCCTTTGGGGTGCCCAGCATTGCTGCTCTCCTCACAGCTCTCATCCCCGCTGTCCTCCATGGAGAAGCCCAGGTCGAAGGTGACGGAGAACAGCTCCTGGGAGCAGTCGTAGGGACCATCCTTCTCCAGGGCCACTGCTGATGTTGCCAGGGATTCCCTGCAGGCCTGGGTGGGCAGTTCCCTGCCTGGCTCTCCCTCTGTCCCAGGGATGCTCCCAGCTGGACCTGCCCTGGCTGGAGGCTCAGTGCTCATGGGGCTGCCCTCACCCGTGTCCTCAGCAGCCTCATCCTCAAACAAGTGGAGACTCTGCTCCTCAGCAGGAACTTCAAGGGCAGCCTCTGCTGCGTCCCTGGGAAGGAAAGGCTCCTTTGTCAGGGGGTGGTCCCTGCTGGGAGCGTTGTTTGGCATTTCAGGGAATTCCTCACTGTCAAACAGGCCATCAAAGCTGTCATTCCAGAGCTGCTCCTGTTCAACAGCAGCAGCCTCGGTAGATGACACAGTTTTGGATAAAGGGGGACTTCTTGAGGCACAGAATTCCCTGGGAGCTGCCACTTTGAGATTCTCCAGGAGCAGCAGTGAAGGATCAGTTTTTGGGGATGTGGGGGAGACGCTGTCCTGCAGTGCCTCTGAGTGACCTTTTGGGAGAACTTCTGGGGAAGGAGATCGTGTTCCTTCATCTCTCATCAGGCTCTCCAAACCCTCCAGTTCATCCCCACAGGGAGGGGACTGTGACAAAAGCCTTTGCACTTGGGAAAATGTTTGTTCCAGCCCCGGGGGCTCCCGGGGTGGCCCCTGGAGTGTGAAGGACTCCCTGCAGGATTCGGGGAGATAAAACAGGTCCGAGGCCATGGGGGAGGTCTCGTACCCTGAGTCCCTGTGGATCCTCCCCAGGGCCCCACAGGCTTCACCTGCAGGGCTGTTTTCCTGTGCTGCTGGGCTGGCAGGGCCTTCAGAGCTGTCACTGTTGTCACACAGGTCAATAAATGCATTTAGGTCAAATGTCACCTCCAGCCCCTCGTCCTTGTCACTGCCTGGGTGAGGGTGTCCAGGCACAGCAAGCCTTGTTCCTGAGGGAGGGGCAGGAGGCTCCCGAGGCAGCTCAGGCACCTCCCTGAGTGCAGGAGCTCCTCTGGGAGCCTTGGCTTTGGTGATTTTAAACGTGGTGAAGAACTCACTCTCGCTATCACCTGCATCAGGTGGGAAGGGTTTTGGTTTGGGTTTTGGCAGGTCTCTCCTGGAGCAGCGACCTCTCTGATCCCGGGGAGGTTTGGCCATGGAGGGATTCCTTTTGTTCCCTGGAATGTTCACATCTTCCAGGCGCAGGTGAGGCTGGAGCTCCAGTTCATAGCTGCAGTCTCCCTGGGGACACAGGGCACTGGTTACCAGAGGCACACCCAGGGCTGCCCACAGCCAGGCTCCAAACAGGGACGAAGGTTTTGCTCTCCTGAACTTCCCACAGACTCCGGATCAATTTTTCATGGATGTCTATAATCTGCTGTTCATAAGGCAATCAGCTCTGTTAAACATGCACTGGGGAAAAGCTCAGTGGACCTGGGCATGGAGGACCTGAACAGAACAATTATTTTTTGGCAGTTCAGGCAGATGAATCCCTGGATTCCTTAATCACTGAAATTACATGAGGTACCTTTACAGAGAGTGAGGAAAATGACTTTATAATTAGAGATTGGATTGCCTGAAGATATTTCTGGAAGCAAGATCCAAAGCCACCTTCCAAGAATTTGAAGACTGATCCCTGACAGGATCCCTCTCTGGTTGCAGCAGGCAAAGCAAACTGCACACTATTAACAGATTTTGTCATTAATCATCATCATCATTTCAACACCAATTTCACACAGATGCTGATGCTTAAACCATCCATTTGCAAAGACATCCAAAGAAACTCCAAGTCTGGATTTTTTTAACTAAAGCTGCCTTAGGGGAAGGCTTAATAAAAACAGTGAGGAAAAGAATTGTCACAAGAGGGTTTTAGGATGATTTTGATCTGGCAGGTTGTAAATAATTCCTTTTCCTCAAGCCTGGCCAGAACACAGACTCCAGACACGGAATTCTTTGTCTGAAATCCAAGAAGAACAGCAAACCTGGTTCCAGTTCAGTGCCCAGGTGCCACCTGAGCAGAGGAGCACTGGAGTGACAATAATGGGGCTGATAAGGGTCTGTCTGGGTTTATCTCAGGAGCACCTGCCCCTGCACAAGGGCTCAATTCAAGCATTTCAGTGTTACACAAACAAGACAGAAATTAAATGGATTAAGGATTAATTAGCTGCCAAACCACTGAACATGAGGGAAATGGGAGGAGGTGCTGTCCCTGCCCACCCCTCACAGTGAGGGTGAGAGTGCAGTGCTGATCAGGCTTGGCCTAATATTGTCCTGCAACCCAAAATCACCCAGAGTACAACCCCAAACCCTACAAACCCAGAGCCAAACTCCAACACTCAAAACTTACAAACCCAAAATAAAACCACAACCCCTAAACCCTCCAAGCCCAATCAAACTGAAACTCCCAAAACCTACAAACCCAAACCAAATCAAACTACAACCTCCAAAACTTACAAACCCAAAACTCAAACTGCAAGCCTCAAAACCTCCAAACTCCAACTCGCACCCCCAAACCCAAACAAAATACAAACCCCAAAACCTCCAAGCCCAAAATTAATCAAACTACAATACCCAAACCCTACAAACCCAAACCAAACTACAACCCCCAAAACCTCCAAAACCTGAACTCAAACTACAATCCCCAAACCCAATCCAAGTACAACCCCCTAAACCTACAAACCCAAAACTCAAATTAAACCCCCAAAACCACTCAAATACAACCCCCAAAACCTACAAACCCAAATCCACTCCAATACAACCCCCTAAACCTACAAACCCCAAACCAGAGCAGCTGTGGCTGCCCCTGGATCCCTGGCAGTGCCCAAGGCCAGGCTGGACACTGGGGCTGGAGCAGCCTGGCACAGTGGGAGGTGTCCCTGCCATGGCAGGGTGGCACTGGCTGGGATTTAAGGTCCCTTCCCACCCAAACCTTTCTGGGCCATGGGGTCCCAGCCCAGGCAGCAGGATCAGTGAGAATTTCCCTGGAATGTCCCCAGGCCCCCCCACAGCCCGCAGTGCTGTGAGTGGAGCTCAGCCCTGCTGGAGCCTGGCAGTGCTGCGGGGCCAGGCCAGCCCAGAGCCAAATTTAGCATCTAGGGCAGAGCTGGGTGACCTGCTTTGGGCTCAGGCCTTGTGTAACTGCTCCACTTCCAGCCCAAACACTTTCTCCTGCACAGAACCTGGCCAGGAGGCCACTCCGTGCTGCGAGAGTGAAAGGGACGTTTGGGATTAGCTCGGCCTGAACGTGCACAGATGTGGAACCTTACATTACCTGCTCAGCTCCCCTCCAACCCAGAGCCCCAGGCTGCACCAGCTCCTCAGAAAATAGGTCAGGAGCAGGAAAACAGCTCTGAGATTATGGTACTCAATCAATGAGCCTGCCTGGAGTCACTGATTCGCTTTAAAAAACAAAATATGCTTTAGCATAGAAAATAGGAAGAAAAAAGGAAAATTTTAATATTAAATAAATTATTACAGTAATATATTAATATAATATCATTTTTTATAATATATATTATTGTTACATAGTATATTATACAATTATAATATTATATTATATATTATTCTATTATATTATTATAACTAACCATACTACTATCATAATAACTATAACCATAACTATATAGTTATTATATATCATTATAGTTATTATATATCATTATTATATGTTGTTATAATTATTATATATCATTATATATAGTTATACATGTAGTTATTATATAGCTATATATACAGCTATATAACTATAACTATATAGTTATTATAATAACTATAACACTATTTTATATTATAATTATTATAATATTATATAAGTTATCAAATTATTTATTTTATTGCATTATAACAGTATAAATTAAAATGTTATATACTTATATTAATATTCTATATTGGAACTTGATTTTTGATATGTAAATATCTGTGTAATTATACCCATTCTGGTTTCCAGTATTTAAATTTAAGGCATCAAGTACCAAAATTGCAACTACCCCCTCTCTCCTCATGAGCTGCTTTGGATGCACATTCTCCAACAAGATTCCTCAGCCTGTTGAAACCCTGGTGATGCTGCTGTTTGAAAATTCAGGATAAATCCGTAGAGAGCTCCAGTGTGGATTTTTAACAATTAAAGCTCCTTTAAGTGGGAGCCTGAGTGAAGCCCTGCAGAATTCCCTTGGGTGTGTCTGGCCCAGCAGATGCTGCTCACTGAAACCCTCCCAGCCCTTGGTTTGGGCTGGAAAGGAGTTAAAGCTGTTCCTTTCTGTGATTCCAGGGGTTTTTCCTGACCATCTTTTCCATCTTTTCCCACAACTGCAGCACTGATGATCCCTGCCCAGAGCTCTGGTGCCCTGTGCGTGCCCTGCTCCCCTCCCTGAGCTCGGAGCAGCCTTTTGCTCATCACCCCTTCCAGGACCTGAATCACTCCCTGTTCCACGACTGCTCCCTTCCCAGAACACACCTCAGGGGAAGAAACGCTGTCAAAACCTTGGGTTTGGAGGCTTAAGTGTATTACATGAGATGATCTTTAACAATTTATTTAGTTGAGTCATGGAAGAAGGGCCTGAGGGACACAAACCCCAATTCCCTTCCACCAAACCGAGATGATTCTCTCTAATGGCATCACATTATTGATGGATCTGCTCATTCTGTTGGGTGTTGCTTTCTGCTACCCAATAAGAACAGCCTCAGATCCCTAAAAAGAAAGATGGTTACAAAATCCAGGGTATGTGCCCTGGCAAACATGGGAGCAGCATCAATGAAGAGGCTGAAGAGGTGAATGTTAAAGAGCATCAGGAAATAAATGAGGGTGCCCAGAGAGGCTGTGGAAGGGTCCAGGGCCAGGCTGGATGGGATTTAGGGTCCCTCCAACCCAAACCATTCCAGGATTCCACAGTAACAATCCCATTTACTGAGAGCATGCCCTGCCCCTGCTCTCTCTGTGTTTAGCTGGAAGCTGAGGGCAGGGATTCATGGAGTGCTTGGGGTTGGACCATCCAGTCCCACTCCCAAATCACTGCGAGTCCTCTGTTCTCACAGGAGCACAACCCCAGCCCCAGGAAAAGCACCAAGCACCTGCAATTCCAGGTCTAAACAAGCCAGCCCTGGTCTCAATTAATGCTGGAATTTAGAAAATTCAGTAACAAGATCAGAAGAAGCAATTCAAAGGAACTACTTGAATTGGAGAGCTGAGATTTTGGAGCCCCCTGGCACCTCACTCTCCAAACCAGCCCAAACCCTTCCACCTTCTCTGGAAGCAGAAGTTTTGACACATCTCAGAAGAGGATTTTAATCAGAGAGAATTTATGGGCAATTGAGGGCCTAAAAAACCCAGATAAAACCATTTCATTCTCCTTATTTGAACCATTTTTAACTTTTCATTCAGGGTCTCCTGAGAAAAAAAGGTTCAGCTGGCAGAAAACACTAAATTTCCACCCAAAACACATCTGATTTGAAACTCCACAGGTTTGGGAAGCCTTTTCAGGTTCACTGGGACTGCAGAGTGTCCTGGGAACGTTTCCCTGCTGGCAGGGAGCTCACCTGCAGGATCCCCTGAGGCAGCCCCAGCCAGGTGACAAATTACAGCTGATTCCAGAGCCAGCAGCTCCAGGGTCATCCCGGGGTGAGGAGATGTGTCCCTAGGTGTGTGGACTCAGAGGGTGAAAAACTGAGACAATCCCAAACGTTTTGGGATTTATTTTGTTTTTCTTGTGAAAAGCTGTGTGCTCCCACTGCCAGCTTGGAAACGGGAAAGCTCCAGAGGGAGCCTCCCACTCTGGACACTAAAATGAAGCACTCCTGCTCCTCTCCTAAGGAAAAACAAAGCACTGGCCTTCCCCAGTCCCTGAGAAACCTGGACAAACACCATCCCCCTCCAAGGATCACTCTGCCCAGCCTTATTTCCAAACAGCACACTTGAATTTGCAAAAAATGCTTAAAAGACATGGAATAATTTTGCAGAAGGACAACTTGATTTGTTGCCATCTTGCACCAAAAATCCCCCTGGGAGTAAATCCCCCATCTGCCCCTCAGGCGTTGCTGTAGCAATAAAGCCCCCAGGCATTAAAGGCTTTGCTGGATGTGCCTTTTCCAGGGGTCACATCTGGGGCTTCTCTGACTTTTATTTTCTTTTGACTGGGCCAACTTCTTCTCTAAGATTTTAGGAGCACATAAACAAATACAATTTTTTTGCCAACCATTTTCACTTAATCTCCTAAAAAAAAAAGCCTTTAAATTGACTTTTTAAAAGTGATTATACAAAACATAAATAATAATATAAAATACAAATTTCTTGAATCACTGAATGAGTACAAGAAAAGGAAAGCCACATATCAGTGAATTTCTTCTCTAACAGAAAACACCTAAAAAATAACACAAATGCCTCTTGTGCTGGCTTGTATTGTCATGACAAATCTCTGAATTAAATTCTGCCCAAGAAATAATTGAGCAGAAATTTCCAGATCATTTGGTTATTCACTGTAAAATAACAAACACAATATAATTTTTTTTTTGCCAATCATTTGCACTTAATATTTTTTTTTAAAAATCCTTTAAATTGACTTTTAAAAAGCTATTATACAAAATAAATAATAACATAAAATACAAATTTCTTGAATCGCTGAATGAGTACAAGAAAAGGAAAGCCACATATCAGTGAATTTCTTCTCTAACAGAAAACACCTAAAAAATAACACAAATGCCTCTTGTGCTGGCTTGTATTGTCATGACAAATCTCTGAATTAAATTCTGCCCAAGAAATAATTGAGCAGAAATTTCCAGATCATTTGGTTATTCACTGTAAAATAATGATTTGCCTGATTTTGTGTTTCATCCCCCAGTAAGAAAATCATCAATAAAACTGTGGTCTGAGGTTCCCTCTCTTGGGTATTTCAGGAAAGAGCTGTGACCTGTATTGGTATTAAACCCCTCTGTTAATTAAGCACCGTAAATGAACGTCACCAGATCAGCTGGGTGTAATTAGCCATGGAATATTTATAGCAGGAACCTGGATGCACAGCAAACCCTTCCACCAGAGGATCATGGAAGGGTTGGGAAGGACCTTAAATCCCACCCAGTGCCAGCCCTGCCAGGGCAGGGACACCTCCCAGTGTCCCAGGGTGTCCCAGTGTCCAGCCTGGCCTTGGGCACTGCCAGGGATCCAGGGCAGCCACAGCTGCTCTGGCAATTCCAGCCCAGCCAGCAATTCCCAGTTCCCAATCTCCCACCCATCCCTGCCCTCTGGCACTGGGAGCCATTCCCTGGCTCCTGTCCCTCCATCCTTGTCCCCAGTCCCTCTGCAGCTCTCCTGGAGCCCCTTCAGGCCCTGCCAGGGGCTCTGAGGAGTCCCAGGACCCTTCTCTCCTCCAGGTGAGTGTTTTGAATTCCAGTGGGAACATCCCCAGCCCTGGGAGCACTGTCAGTGCAAGGATGGCTTCAGGGAATGCTACTGAACCTCTCAGCCAAGAGCTCAGTGTCAGAGCTGTCTGATCAGATCAGACCAGGACAATGATGCTCTTCCCTTTTTCTGGAACAGTTTTGGTGTCCCTGGACTAGCACCAGTTGGTTCAGTGTAAGAAAGAGCCCAGGAATCTCTGGAGTTAATTTTAAACCCTGGTGTCAGTGCTGACCCCAGCCCTGCCAGTGCTTTGTTTCTCCCTGGGAGGCTTTGAAGGGTGAGTGCCACCTTGTGTCACCTCCTGTGCTCCTGGGGCACCCTGGGCACACCAGGGACACCCTGTGAGCAAGGTGAGGAGTGAGGAAGCTCCACACCTGCTCCTCTGCCTGCTCACACAAACGGAGCAGGCTGGAGGCCAGCCCAGCTGGGGCTCACCTGAGCTGAGGGGCTCAGCCTGGACAAAAGGAGGCTCAGGGGGCACCTGCTCATTCTTGAACCTTTTCCCTCCTTCCAACATCTCAAAAACCATGAAAGGAAATTCAGGTGGTATATCAGGAAAAGGTTTTTCCAGAAAGGTGATAAAGCTCTGGAATGGCTGCCTGGGGAGGTGGTGCAGTCTCCATCCCTGGGGGTGTTTAACAAAGCCTGGATGTGGCACTGGGGGCCAGGGCTGGGTTGGGGTGCTGGGGCTGGGTTGGACTCCATGATCCTGGAGGTCTCTCCCAACCCAGGGATTCTGTGAACATTCTGTGACATCCCTCCTGTGCCCATCCCTGCCTCTCCCTCTGCAGTGTGTCCCTGACCCCACCGAGGACAGGGACTGCCAGAGTGTGGGAAACAGATTTGTAAAAAATTCTCAAAGCCTGACAGAAGGCTCACACAGTGTACATCTGTATCCAAACCTTGAAATAAGAAATGCTGACTTAAAAATACCATAGAATAAGACAGACATGATTGGAAAAAAAATTAGAAACAAGATTCAAAAGATAGCCTTACAAATAAGACTTAATACTTTAGAGGAATAGAACTATGAAAGATGCATTGTAGTGAGACCCACAAAGAGTAATTTTAGATAATTAGCTTTAAGGCACTTACAACATAGTGTAGCTAAAGCTGATAGGCCAAGAAACACTTATAGTGTATTGTACTTAAGAAATAGTTGGATTCTAATTGTGATAGCATGAATTATAACATCTGTGATGTCTCACCCTTCTCATGAGACTGAAAATGGAATAAAAGTTTTTAAACACCTCTCAGTTTCCCCATCTCTGGGTCAGAAAAAGGTATAATCCAACACCAGAGGATCAGGAACGTCTCTGGTGGGATGGAGAAGCTTTTCTGAGCTGGCCAGGTCTGATCACAGCCTCCCTTTCACACCCAAGGAGCACAACCACAATGTCTCCATTCTCCTCCCTGATTAGCCCTGGTATTATTCAGGAAACTCTGGCAGCTTAGCAACAGCTTCTGATGACCTAAAAAACCTCCACGTGCTGAAAGGCAACATTTGGGGAGCTCAGCTGGAGGGGAAAATAAGGTGGTGAACCACTGAAGCCTCCACCCACCTCTGCACCCTCGTCCTTGTGCCTTCCAGAAGGATTTCTGTAGCCAGCCCTGTCAGAAAACAAAATTCCCACCTCCCAGGTAGATCCCATCCATGTTTGTTTGGCTTAGCTCCTCTCATCTCTTAATTCTTAGGAACAATTGGCTTTTTAGTTCAAAAAACAAAGCTCAAAAAGCCTAAAACAAATCCCCTAAAACATGCCATGTGTTCCTGCATGACTTTTCTGTCAGCTTTTGATGTACACACGACACCAAACTCTTCCCAAATCCTGGAACAGCTCTGCTATCCCTCGTGGTGGCTTTGCCCCTTGGCATTTGGAGCTGCTGTATGTAATGTCACTCTGACACAAACTGATACTGGAATCCATTAAGAAAAGACTGATTTAAGGGGTTTTTTCCCTTTTTTTAAACAGTTTCTGTGGAAAATATTAGGAATCACAGCACAGCAGTGGGAGACATTTTTAAACAAGACTAAGTACATATAATTAGTTTCACAATTACTGTTTTGGTTTTTTTTTTTTAAATCATTATTTTTAAACCGTTCTAACTGTGCATTCAGTCCCTGGGCAGGTTTCTTACCTGCTGGTGCCTCATCAGCTCCATCATTTCCATGGCCCCGATGAAGAGGTGGCATGGATCCGAGTGATCCACCAGGACTGTGGGCAGAGGCTGATTCTGCCAAATGCTCCACTCAGACAGGGAGAGCTCCCGAGCTGCCCCCTCCTCGGGCTTCTGCAGGGCAAAGGAAGGGAAAAGACACTTTTAGCAGGGAAATTTTTAGCTAAACTTCGCTGTCAGGGACAATAAATACAGAAATGCAAAGAAGGATTTAAACATTCTCACACGGGTTTAAGTCTGGTCTAAAATAAAAACATCAGGGGGGAAGGTGCCCAGGTGTCCCTGCCCAGGGCAGGGGGTGGAATGAGATGGGTTTAAGATCCCTTTAAACCCAAACCATCCTGGAGCTCTGTGAATGCAGCATCATGCATGGAATTCTTAAAAACAGGAGAAGAACTTAATGGATACTGAGACTTCCTAATATATTTTTAATTTATTGACCCATTTTAATTTACAGACCTAACATTTTACTTACAGACCCAACCTCAAAGACCTATTTCAAACATCCACTACCTAAACTCTTAACCTCAAAAACCCACAGGTAAATCTAAAAAAGGCACTTTCATAACAGGCTTCCTTCAAACCCAGAGGTAAGTCTGGCATTTCCAGCATCCTTCAGGCCTCATGTCCAAGGAAGCACTGCATGGAACTCACTGGTGTTTCCTCCAGGTTTTCCAAGGTTTCAAACTGAACTCGAGGCAATACTGGTTCTTTTATCCCATCACTTTCCTTAATCCTGTAGAGCCTGTCCCATATTTCAAACTCCTCAGGTGACAAGCACCAGCTCCCATGGGAGTTCATTTGCTTTTGGCCTGTGGGGGGAAAAACAACAACAGAAAAATGTTACCTGCTGTAGGAAAAGGGATGCAAGGAATAAAAGAACTTGGTGTGGTACCAGGGACAAAAAAAAAATCTCTGAGCCACAACCAAAAGCAGATGCAGAGAATCTGAAGCCAGGGACAAACATCCAAAGAGTGTTAAATGCTTTATATGAATACATATCATTAAACAGCTGTTTTGGGGAGGGCATCACATAAAAATAGAGAGATTCAGATATAAATCACTATCCCAAAAAATGCCAAATGCCTTAAACAGCCCTGGGTGGGAAGTGATCCCAAAGAATCAGAGTTGAGAATGTGATTGTTTTCAGACCAGATGTGTGGAGCTGGGAGAAACATAATGAAGGTAATTTGCCAGGATCTGGGGTGAATCTGCAGCCCAGGCTCTTTTGGGAATTAATGCCACAGAACAGGAATCAGGATCTCTCAATCCCGTCAAGGTCCAGCTGCCAGGGGCTGTGTCTGCACAGAGCAAACCCTGAGTGCAGAGTCCTGCTCAGGAAAACCTGGAAAAAGGAACCAACACTGATGTTCTTAAGGCCATCATCACTAAAACATCCCAGAAGATCAACACTGCCATGGAGTATTTCTGACTCTAGTGGAAATCTCACTTTCCAGAACAAATAACACCCAGTCCAAGAACCTGGCAGAGGAGGAAAAAAGAGACTTGAAGGAAAAGGAAATGAAGAACAATTCTCAGAGAAGCATTAGTAATCAGGGAATGTTAAGTGGGAAGGTGATGCACAAGGGATCAGAGGGACCCACAGGGATCACAGAATCAGGAATTTCCTGAGTGGGAAGGGGACCCACAAAGACCACCCAGCCCAGCCCCTGTCCCAGACCCCCAAACAACCCCACCCTGGGCATCCCTGGCAGCGCTGTCCAACCCCTCCTGGAGCTCTGACAGCCTCAGGCTGTGCCCATTCCCTGTTCCTGAGGACCTGTTCCAGCCAGCCCCAGCAGGACACGCTGGGAACAACAATGACTTCAGTGCTGTTCCAGCTCGTGGGACAGAGACAAGATGAACCTGTGATATCAGCCCAGGTGAGCCGTGGTGCAACCCTGCCAGGCAAGGAGCCCTGCAGCAGCTGGCACCACCTGGGAACAGATGCTTCCCAGAGCTCTGGGCTCCCTGCTGGGGAGGATTGTGGTTGCCCAGAACATTTTCCAAACACACGAAAGAGGGACCTGGACAAACACGAGTGCTGCCACCAGGGAATGGGAGCACAGGAGAACATTCCCATCCTCAGGAGGCTGATAAGGCTGTTTGGATCAGGGCTGGGAGTCAGCACGTCCTGCAGTCCCTGGCACAGCCTCTCCCCTCCATGGGAAGCAGCTGGTGCTGTCCCATGGGAAATTATCCTCCAGAACATTCCGGGTTAGGGACGCCAGGCCCTACCAAACACAAGCACAGAACTCAGATCATCCATGTTATTTTCCTTGTTTTTCTCCAGAACTAATGCATTGTCATTGTTCTTGAAGTGGCAAGAGAGCAAGAATTAGCCACAGGCAACTGGAAAGGCAGGAAAACCCCACAGAGCAGGTGCTCAAACCCCAAAGCAGGTGTTGGTGATCTTAAAAAGATCAAACCAATTATCACTAGGATAAAGCCAGCAATTATAGAAATAATGTGAAATTGTAAAATCAAACAAAATCCACGGTTATTGACGACTCAGAATTGATCCACCTGAAATGAGGGAGCAGAAGAATTGTGGAGAACCAGCAGAAGAATTAAGTAAATGAGATTTCATCTGGACAAAAGCAAAAAGAAAAAGGAATTACTGACAGCTTGAAATGAGATTCAGCTCCCAGAAACAACAATATCAACATGCTCGTCACTTCAGCAAACTCTTAAAGAAAACAAAACAAAACAACAAAACAAAACCCAAAACTCAGAGAGAGAGAAAAAAGAACATTAAAATATAAGAAGTTATATAAGAGGCTGATGAATTAAAGGGATTTTTTGCTGCACTTTTTGAAGGAGAGCTCTGAAAACTGCAGGACACACTTGGTTAATGATGGGGCAGCACAAGATATTGGATCCTTCTGGGGCTGACACACAAAAGTTATGGATGAGGTTTTGAAGTGAAGTAAAATTAACAGAAATTGGATCAAATTAAGAACAGGAAATGTGTATATTTTCAGGTAATGAGTGACAGGACCAGAGGAAAAGCCTCAAGCTGTGCCAGGGAGGGTTCAGGTTGGACATGAGGAGGAATTTCTTCATGGAGAGGGAGGTCAGGCCTTGGAACTGCCCAGGGCAGGGGTGGAGCTCCCATCCCTGGAGGGATTAAAGCCCTGTGCGTGTGGCACTTGGGGACACGGGGCAGTGGTGGTCTGGGCACTGCTGGGGAATGGTTGGACTCAATGGACTCACAGTTTTCCAACCTAAATGATGCCTTGATTGTATTTATTTTGACAAGAAAACAAGGAGAATGCTTGAAATTCCCGTGCTAACTCAGCCCTTGACAGCTCAATTTCTGCCACAGAGAAACCTGAGGACGAACTGGACCTCAACAACAAAGTGAGAGCAGAGATAAGAACACACCCAGCTCACCCACTGCTGCCAGCTTTACCCATTTTTTATCGTGGAAACAGGCAGTAAAATGAAGAGAAAATGCGAAAAAGTCAACTCCTTTCTTTGTCCTCTTTGGAGCTTTATCCTGAGGGTCACTAAAACCAGGAGCAGCCCTTGGTTCACCCAAAAATGAGGGGGATTCCACACAAGGGTGGTGCTCAGTGACCTGCACAGGGCAGCAGGGAGGGCACGGAGCCCTGGCCACCATTGGGGTCTGAGGGGTGGCCACCCTGGGGACTGAATCCTGGCCACCCTGGGGACTGAGGGGTGGCTACCATGGGGACTGAATCCTGGCCACCCTGGGGATTCAGCCCTGGCCACCTTCAGTACATCAGCCCTCCCCACCCTGGGGACTCAAACATTGGTCACTTTGGGGACTCAGCCCTGGCCACCCTGGGGACTGAGGGGTGGCTACCATGGGGACTGAATCCTGGCCACCCTGAGGACTGAGGGGTGGCTACCATGGGGACTGAATCCTGGCCACCCTGAGGACTGAGGGGTGGCTACCATGGTTGGCTGCTCAGCCCTGGTCCCTTTGGGGAGCCAGAGCCCAGCCCTGGCAGCTGCCCACGTGGCTCACACAGAGGGCACTGGGCAATTCCAGCCCGTGCTGCTCCCACAGCAGGAACATTCCCAGCATTATCGTTTCCTTTATGCCCTCCCTGCTCGTTTCTCTTTTCTAGGACAGACCAACAAATGCTATAAAATGATTATTTTCATTCCATGTTGGGCTCTGTTTTTCAGCAGCTGTGTCTGTTTAATCAGAAATAGGAACTTTCTCAAGGCTTCGAGTTTCTTCTTTCAAGAAGTTGCTCTTGGTCTTTACAGAAAGCATTAATAAAGAGATAGAGCAGGAAAATTCCCAAGTATTTATTAAAAAAATAGCTCTTTTTTCCTATCTTAGGATAGTGTTCAGTTTCCTGAGCATTCCCATGCCATTGAACTGCCTCAGCTAAAAAGCCTCCAAGAGAATTTTCCCAATTTTCCTCCAAGAGAGGCTGCACAGTTCATAAATATCCTACTCTTCATTTCTCCTTTTCCTCACATCAAAATCCTTCGGTTTTCAAACATTTCTGTTTTATTACATTTACAAAGCCACACTGTCCAGAGCAGCTGTGGCTGCCCCATCCCTGGGAGTGTCCCAGGCCAGGCTGGACAGGGTTGGAGCAGTCTGGGATTCTGAGATTTTGGGATGAACATTTGAACATTTCTGCACACAGAAACTCCTCTGCGTGCAGCTGCAGTTTCTGACTTGCAGTGAGTGACTCCGTGGAGGAGGATGAGCCGAGGCTGACTCAGGATGTGGATGTGAAGGGCAGAGCTGTGAGGATGCCCAGGAGAAGCCCTGGGCAGTGTCTGAGCTGCCAGAGTGACCCTGAGAGCCCCAAGCCCGCGGCAGGGAGGGCTGGAGGTGCTCAAACACCATAATCCTCTTACCAGTGACACAGGCAGAGAGAGCAGATTTGTGCTGCAGGGAACTGCATCTCCTCTTTTTGGAGAGCAGCCCCGAGGTGCTCTGCTCCTGCTTTTCAGCAGTGATGAACATTTTGTGCACTTTGGGATTGATGCCTTCCGGAACCATCCGTGGGCTGTGCTGGTAGAAATGAAGGGTTTTGTTCCCTGAAATGGCTTTGTGGATGCTCCTTTTGTTACACTGGCTTTGGTTGTAGGTCTGAAAGAGAAGGCAAACAGATAAATCATCTGCTGATTGATTGGTTTCTTCACAGCATTTGATCAAAACCAAAAGAACGCCTCAGTGTCTGTGGGTTTCTCACCACTTCCTGTTCCCTCAGCCAGGTGCTGTTTGGTTTGGGGTTTTTTAATGGACCAGAAGCAGGCACAGCACTGGAGAGTGAGAAAGGAGCACAGCCCTCGCCTGGGGGAAGTTACAAGCTGTCACTGATACAGGGATGATGTAAATTAGATTACACCAGAAACAGGGAAAGGAGCTCAAGCAAAAAAAAAGGCCTAAGATGATTTGTTGATGTCATGAGTGCCTGAGTCCTTTTAATTACACTCCATTTCATTGTGCAACAGAGAAACCATGGCAAAGCTGGGGAATGTGAGGAGAGAAACTGGGGCCTCCTCCAAGGAGGTTTTGTGCTCTGCTCCTCCCTGAGCCCCTTGAGACCCTGAGTGCCCCAGGGGGGCAGCTGCCACCTGACAGAGAGGATTTCAGGGAGCAAAAATAAATAAAATAAAAAAAAAATTCCCTGAATAAAACTGGAAGAGGTCCACAGCCAGCTCTGATAAACCCCTCAGGCATTCAATAAAACAACTTTTTAATCCTAGAACAGTCAAACCCGTGTTCTTATGGCAGAAAAACGTGGTGTTACCAAATTGGCAGCATCACAGAGTTGTGACTCCCCTGGCTTTTCCCTCCCCTGTGCTTCCTGGGCTGAGCAGCTCCAGGGGACACCCCAAGCCTGGGGCTCACGGGAGCTGCCACGTGGAGAGGCTGCCCTGGGAACAAACACTGAGCTGACAGAAATTCCTGCCAACGTCACGCTGCCAGACCTGCACTGACCCCTTTCTCCCAATCAAACATCTTCTAAAGCTTTGTGATTGACCTGAAGTGGTTTGATTAAAAACAGCCCCAAAACTAAAGCAAGCAAAACAAAAAAAAAAATCCCAAAACTAAAACAAAGTGAAAAAAAAACACACAACCCCTCCCCCCACCAAACAAATTCCATAAATTAATATATGGACATTAATTATTTAGCTGTAAGATTAAGTGATGAGGAAGAACCTCCACATTGAGTCTCCTTCCAGTTCTGCTGAACTTAAAAACCCCAACAACAACCCCAAAAGACATCCTCAAGAAAAACCAAACAAACCCACAAAGACAATATTGGTTTGCAATTAAACTTATTTCCTGACCTCAAAATAAAAATAAAAAGTATACAATGACTGTTCTACCTGGGGGGAGGTTCTGCTTCAAAGATATCTGAGAAAATGTGGACAACACAGTAATCCAGCTACTTAAGTGAAGCTCCAAGGAACTTAAGGGACTGGTTTATATCCCATTCCAGAGCAGAGCTTTCAGCAGTAACCAGCCTCCGTAAGCAGCACGAGAAAGTATCTATTCACAAGCTCCACTCAGGTTTATCATTTTTAACTCTCATCTCTTCAAAGGGGAAACTTTTTTCCTCCCAGGGAGGATTCTTTGCAGTCTCATTCAGAATGAAATCCCTGCCATCCGCAAATCCCAAGCAGAGCTACAGCACTGACTGGAATAAAGAAATAACACCAAGAATCTGAAATTTCAGCTTTACAATTGATTTACACAGATCCTGGATGTATTGGTTTGCAGCTCCTTTCACTGGTGATGGCAGCAGGGAGTGCCCAGCCTGTGCTGCCCAAATCCTGCCCTGTCCAAGCCCACCCCAAGGGTGAGCCTGGGCTGGGATCCCCCGGCTCCCAGCACACCCCAGTGGGACACGGCTGTCCCAAGGGACAGTCTGTACTCAGAGATGATTAATTATGCTCTGCCTGAGCGCTGGGCTGCAGGAGCCCAGCCAAAGTGGATTTGCACCTAAGCTGATCTCCTCCTGCTCACACGCAAGAGCGCGGCCACTAAAGCCAGCTCTGGGTGCCAGTGGCGTCACCGGCCCCGTAAGCACCGGCCTGAGCAGCCAGTGCCAGCACCAGCACTCCCAGTGCTCCCCCCGCTCCACACCCCACCCCACACCTCCCTCTGCACCCTCGGAAAGCCCTGGAATCACAGTTCAATACTTGGTGACATGGCAGGCTGGGAGAGCTGGGAATGTTCCCTGGAGAGGAGAAGGCTCCAGGGAGAGCTCAGAGCCCCTGGCAGGGCCTGAAGGGGCTCCAGGAGAGCTGCAGAGGGACTGGGGACAAGGCATGGAGGGACAGGACACAGGGAATGGCTCCCAGTGCCAGAGGGCAGGGATGGGTGGGAGATTGGGAACTGGGAATTGCTGGCTGGGCTGGAATTGCCAGAGCAGCTGTGGCTGCCCCTGGATCCCTGGCAGTGCCCAAGGCCAGGCTGGACACTGGGACACCCTGGGACAGTGGGAGGTGTCCCTGCCATGGCAAGGGCAGAACTGGAGGATCTTTCAGGTCCCATCCAACCCAAATCTCTCCAGGGTTCTGTGCTGGAGATTCCTGTAACAGTGAAAGAAGAGGCTGAGCAGAGGCTGCCTGGGGGCTGCAGCTTTGTCCCAAGGGACAGCTCCAATCCCTGCTCCCTGGGACAGGGACAGGACCCAGGAAAGGGCTGGAGCTGAGCCAGGGCAGGCTCAGGCTGGAGCTCAGGAAAGGCTCTTCTCCAGAGGGTGCTGGCACTGCCCAGGCTCCCCAGGGAATGGGCACAGCCCTGGGGCTGCCAGAGCTCCAGGAGCATTGGGACAGCACTGCCAGGGATGCCCAGGGTGGGGTTGTTGGGGTGTCTGGGCTGGGATGCTCCCTGAGTGTGGAATCCTCTGAATCCTTCCCCCTCAGGCAAATCCCCAGGGCACTGCCATGGAAAGACCCACCACAGAGTTTTCCCCACCTAGGCAGACAGAAAGAACTTCCCCATGGAGACTTGCACAACACCACGATCCATCCCAGTTCCCTTCCCCCTATGTCCCAAATTCTGGTGGTTTCTCCTTCCCCTGTTCCCTCACTGGTTGTGGAATCCCTGGTGGCTGGCCCTGTCCTCCCTGTAGGGCAGTGCCCTTTGCCTGCCCTTTGTGCCACCCCATGCCCTCCCATCCTCAACCTTGTGCACACCACATGGCCAGGTCTTATGTCCCTCATTTCCCCTTGGTGTGCTGGAACAAACCTTGGCTGGAATTTGTCCTACAAAAGGCCCTTCTGCCTCTCTTGGCTGAGCTAGCTGTGGCGAGTGTGGGGTGTGTGGCATCGACTGCTCTGCCTGAACACTTACCTGTGGAAACCCAGGGCACTGGGAATATTTATCTGTCTGCTCTGGGGTGCCCTGACCCCCAGGGGAGCACCGACTCTGACCCTCATTCATGGAGAAAGTTTCCTAGACTTCAAGATAGACCAGAATCCACAAAAGTGTGAAATAGAGTATAGAGAGTAATGTAGGTGTATCACTTGATGAGATATGAAGGTTTTGGGATTTTTAGTGGAGGATGTGGATGGAAGCAAGATGGAGGGCACAGGGTGTCATCCCGAGTTTCTTCTTCATGCTTCTTCTTCCTTCTTCTTCATGGGTTTGGGTGGCATTTTGTAACTGGGCAGAAAAGTCCGCACTGGGGCTCTGTGGGATCAGTTATTGGGTTAAAAGGGAAAACAATCTGGGTGTCAGTTAATTTGACAGTTTAGTCTTAAAAGACCTTGGAATAAGAGATTGTTGGCCATTTTGTGCCTTCTGATGCAAAGGTGCTGAACTCACAGCAGTGAGGCTGTTTTATGATAAGAAACGATAAACACCTGAGTGTGAACACGAGTTACTGTTGAAATGCCTTCATCCCACACCCAGAGAAACCCACAGCTGGAACGCCCACACTTACCCGAGCGCAGGAGAGGCTGCCTGGGACACAAGTAAGAGCAGGCAGCGTGCCCCCCTGCCCGGCCGGCCCCACTCACCCTCTCCTCGCGGCCCTGCGCCAGGATGACGACGATGCGGCCGCGGCGCCGGCGGCCGGCGCGGCCCATGCGCTGCACCAGGCGCACGGGGCTGCGCTGCGCGTCGAAGCACACGATCAGATCCACCTCGCCGATGTCCAGCCCCTCCTCGCCCACGCACGTGGACACCAGCGTGTTGTAGCCGCCCTCGCGGAAACGCCGCACCACCTGCGGGGACGGCGGGAATGGCACTGTGAGTGACACGGTGAAAAACCTTATTGATGGTGTTTTATGTGAAATCCTTTGCTGGGATTTCTTCTCCTGAGGAGCTGAGGAGCCTCAGGAAAGAAATGTAAACAATAACTGTGTGCTGCTGTGGAATGCAACGGGTGCAGCTGTGATTGGGGCACGGTGGTTGTTTCTAATTAATGGCCAATCACAGTCAGCTGGCTCAGACTCAGTCACCAGCCTTTGTTATTCATTCCATTCCTGTTCCTTCTAGCCTTCTGACGAATCCTCTTCTCTCCATTCTTTTAGTATAGTTTTAATATAGTATTTTAATATAATATATATCATAAGATAATAAACCAGCCTTCTGAAACATGGAGTCAAGATTCACATCTCTTCACTTGTCCCCATCTACGCAAACAAAGCATCAACCAGGGGATTTAGCAGCTCAGCCAGGAAAACTGATTTGGATTCTTGTGCTGGGTTGAGATCTGTCAGAGCTGGGCAGTTCTCTCTGTCCATGGGGCAGTTTTTTCTTTATCTCTCCCACAGCCAATCCTCCCTCCAGGAGATCTCTGCTGTCCATGGCCACTGAGTGTCCCTGCAGGGCTGATCCAATTCCAGCATCCCATGGGGAGATGCTCCTTTTAATCAATTTTTTTCCCTAATAAAGAACTGTTATTCCTGCTCCCACATCTTTGCCTGAGAGTCCCTCAATTTCAAAATTATAATAATTTGTAAGGAGGGGTTTTACATTTTCCATTTCAGGGGAGGCTCCTGCCCTCCTCAGCAGACACCTGGCTTTTCAAACCAAGACAATTCTAAAATGACAAATTTTGTCTTTTTAAATTTCCCAGCTGCTACCTTGCGATCAAACACCACACCCCAGTGTGACCAGCATCAGCATGGTCACTCTTTCAGTATAAAATAAAGGGAAAAAGCCCACCTTATTCTGTCTCCAACCATATAAAAATGGTAAACTGATCCTCCCAACTTAGCAATTAAATATTTTAGGGTTTGTCTTTCTTTTAGCTTTGCTAGATCAGAATTTAATGCTAGATCTCATCTTTCCTACCTAGAAGAAAAATAAAATTCCCACAGCACGTATTTGCAAATTTCCCCAGATTTTTGACCTCTAAATTTAGCAGTCGTTAATATAATGTAAATATATAAATTATAATAATTTAAATTATATTTATATATAAATATTTAAACTATTGGTCTATTTTGTTCAGGCAATATAATTTTGGATCCTCTGGACACCACTGGACTCCGCAGGGATTTACCAGCGACACAGCTCAGCCACTTCCACCCAGCCCATACTCCTGGAGTTATTTGCACAATTTCTGCTGCTGATCACTAATTCCTAGTCCAAGCCTCACCTCCAGCTGCTCCTTCTGGGTGAAGCCCTTGGTGCTCTTGCCCGAGGAGTGCCCCACGAAGGTCATGGCCCGCACGGCCGGGCTGAGGCGCGCCAGCATCTCGGCAATCTCCTGCACGCTGTCCCGGAACGAGGAGAAGATCATCACCCTCGTGTCCCCAGGGGAGCCCTCGCTCTTCTCCTCACCTGCTGCATTTGAAAATGCCAGGTTTTAGTAGAATTATCAGTAAGAAAGGACGGGGCACCCCTCACAAGTTACACGTTCACAGCTCTCGTCTCACTCAATGGGAAGAGAAAATGAGCAGAAAATGCTCCAAGATCCACATCCCTAAAATTCCTCTTTGGATCAAAGCATGCTCTCATGCTCATGGAGAATGAGAATGTCTTTATCTGAGGCACCCTTACCAAAGCCACTTTGAAAAGCTGGGGTTGGATGGGAAGTGCTTTGGAATGAAGTTCACGATGCCGTCGTCTCCGTTTCAGGACTCTCAGGACAACAAAACCAGAATCCCAGAATCCCAGACTGGTTTGGGATGGAAAGGGACCTTAATCCAATCCCATTCGCCATGGCAGGGACACCTCCCACTGTGCCAGGCTGCTCCAAGCCCCAGTGTCCAGCCTGGCCTTGGGCACTGCCAGGGATCCAGGGGCAATGAATGGAACAGAAAGGGCTGCGGCTGTTCCAGGTATGGCTGGAGACTTTGGGCATGAATTCCCTCCCTTCCATCTCAAATGTAGGGTTTTTAAAGTGAAGGCAAAAGGAGAGAGGGAGGTTGGGAGGACAGAAAGAACTCTGAATGGGAAGGGGAGAAAAGGAGTGAACTGCATTAAATGCATTGGGACATATCCTAAAGTTACAAACACAGAACTGGGAAACAAAGTTGCCTAGCAGAAAACATCAGTCATGTCAAAGGTTTGCTGAGAACAGGGCATCCAAGAGAGAAAGAAAAAAAAAAAAAAAAAAGGAAGCAGAGGTCAGAAATTATCAGAACTCCACAGAGCACAAAGATCCAAACAGGCAAGATAGAAAGTGAACAAGATGCAAAACAAATGTTATTATTACTCATGTAATCATCCCAAAGGCTGGAATCAAGAAGCTGAAACATCCCAAAACCAAAGAGATCTGAATGATGTCTTCATCAAGATGAAAAAGAATGAGGGACAGGTGAATGTAACTGAAGGGTCTGAACTTCCAAGTGATGCCTCAGAGTTGTTAATTCTTATCCTCAGGCTGGATATCAGAACTTTTATGCTTAAAGTCCTTAAATGTGTTCATGGAACTCTGCAGCAGGGCCCTGAGGAGAGGCTGCCAGGACAAACTGGGACAGGATCAGCAGGGAACATGGTAGCCCCAGGAATGAGTTCCCTATCCCTGACTCAGCTGTTAGAGCAGTTTATATCAAATTAATAATGAGAATTTATAGGAAGTCCTATCTTACAGAAATCTTATGGTGAAGTTTCTAGAGGGGAAGATGCACAAACAATCAAAGCAATAAAGCAGCATAAAGGAGGAAATCAGTCAGGGGGATATTCCTTGTTTCCATCCCCAGGTTTTCCTCTGAGCTGTTGGCACTCACCAGAACCTCCCTGTTTCCAGGATCTGAAGTGTTCTATTACAATCTCCTCCAATTTCTTTAATTTTGGATGGCTGTAGATGAATTCCTTTTTCTTTCCCAATGCTGGAAAGGAAATAAAGTCACGAAAGATGTAAATAAACCTGCAACAAGCAGGAAGGTTCAGTGAACTTCATTTCTCCCACTGTAATTATCTGAGTCAGATCCAAATCCTGATCGTGATATTTAGATATTGGTTCCAAACAAAACAATAAACTACTGAAAGAAGAACATTTGTTAAACCCAGCTTTTGAGAAAGTGCCGTAACTTTTGTTAGAGTTATATTGCAAAAGACTTAGAGTGAAATAGGTGTATTTTTACCTTCATTTTAGAGCAAATTAAAAACTTCAAACATGGCAAACTTCCTTGAAAGTAGCTAAAACCAGTGAGGGAAGAGTGAGAGGGAGGGAGAGACAGAACATTGGGAATTCAGTCTGGAATAAAGAGCAGCAGCCAGTGCAGCACAACTTTTAAACAGGAATGTTCTGTCCTTGAGGGAGGAATCCTGACCTGTTGTGCTCTTGCCAGCACTTCCACCCTCAGGAGCCACAGCAGAGTCTGAGAACATGTCCTGGAGCTGCTGGTAGAGCTCCATGAAGTCCCCGTTGCGCCCCAGCTCGCTCTTGGTGCGGGAGAGCCCTTTGGAGAGAGTTGGAACACCTCAGGATTCCATTTCCTTTCCCAGACTCTGCCTTTAGCAAACCTCACTGTGCCCAGCTCTGGACCCTCAGGTTGAGAAGGACTTTGAGAGGCTCAAGCACATCCAGAGGGGACAAGGCTGGAGAGGGGCTGGGAACACCAACCCTGAGAGGAAGCCCTGAGGGAGCTGGGGGTGCTCCCCTGGAGGAAAGGAGACTCAGGGGTGCCCTCCTCACCCTGCACAGCTCCTGAAAGGTGCCTGTGCTCAGCTGGGCTGGGCTCTGTCTCCAGGCACTGACACACCCAGAGCACACAGCCTGCAGCTGGGCCAAGGGAATTCAGGCTGGATATCAGGAAAGGTTTTTACAGAAAGGTGATAAAGCTCTGGAATGGCTGCCCGGGGAGGTGGTGCAGTCACCATCCCTGGGGGTGTTTAACAAAGCCTGGATGTGGCTCTGGGGGCCAGGGTTGGGTTGGACTCGATGGTCCTGGAGGTCTCTCCCAGCCTGGTCATTCTGTGATTCTGTGAATAAGGGGAACAAAACACCAAATCCACCTGCAGCTCCTCATTCTTTAAGGTGTTTTGTGCCAACCCAGCCACACAGTGAGGCAAATGGAAGGAGAAGAGTGGAGCTGAAAGGAAGGAGGCTCCTGAGGAGATTTCACCTTTGGATCCATCCATGATTCCCCACAGGTAGATGAATAAGGAGCGGATTCCCATCTGCAGCAGCAGCTCGTACCCGTGGTACAGACTGATGCAAAGGGCAAAGTCTCCTTCAATGACGCCCTGATGGATTCCCTGGGGGAGCAAAGCAAGTTCTGATGGAGTTAGGAAGTGCTGAGGAGCAGGAATCCCACTGCAATTCCTGCCCAAAGCCAGAGTGACACCTGAGGAGCAGAGCAACCCCAAAGTGATGTTCAGGGAGCAGTCTGTCCATCAGGGCCCTCAGGGGACAGACTGCACAATGCTCAGTGAAGGCAATCCTCTTCCACCTCCAAAATACTCTCCAAAACACCTCTATCATCTCCCAAAATTAGCTCATCAACCCTCAGACTCTGACAGCTGAGCCATCAGCATTTGGGAAAGCCAGGGATTTCTGGCACATCCACCCCGGCCATGAAATTAAGTCAGGAAAATTTCCTTGTTTACAGTGAGGGAGATTTCCCATTGCTCTTTTTGAGATACACAGTCTTTTTTTAGGCAATTTTCTTGAAGTTTACAAAATTTGACCATTCCATTTACCAAAAAACAGGAGCAGGAATTTACCTTTGAGGGGAAAATGAAAACTTGGCTGTCAGTGATTACAATGTAATTCTTAAAGCAATTTCATTTAAATGGAATGCTTGATCTTTTCCTTAACTCTTCCATATTGGCATCCAGAAATGTGGAACAATTAGGAATATTTTTCATAAATGATCTTAAAATAGATAAATACATTTCATAAATGATCTTAAAGATCCCTTCCATCCCAAACTGTGCTGTGATTCTATTTTATTCCACAGCTAAAAACAGAAATCTACTTAAAATGTCTCCGGAAATATTGTAACAATGGATTATTCCTATTTATTCACCACTTTAATAGCATGAAATAAATAAAGAACTTACTGCATTTTGTGCAGAGGGGTTCTTCCTGTACTGATCCCTTGCCAGGATGATCTGGTATTTGGTCAGGCTGGGAATATCCCTCCTGGACAAAACTCCCACCTTAATCAGGCGCCCAGCAAATGCTTCCAGCACCTGCAACCAAAACCCAGCACAGGTAAAAGGGTAAAAGTGTGAGCCCTTAGAAATGATTTTATTTTTATAGATCCTACCAACAGAACATGAGCAACTCATTGGTTTTATTTGGGACACGGGATTTTTCAGAGTGAGCTGTGCTGCATTCTGAGTGCTGTGTTACTGTACCAGGAGCTCTGCCTCAGTGGAAGGCTCTCCACAATCAGGATGGTTTTAGGTTAATTCCCCAAATTCCTGCCAGAGCACTTGGACAAGGCTCTGAGGCACAGGGTGGGATTGTTGGGGTGTCCTGTGCAGGGTCAGGAGTTGGACTCCATGATCCTTGGGGGTCCCTTCCCACACCCTCCTGCCCCAGGATAACCCTGGATCCACCCAGGAACCAAGGAGGGGAAAATCCCCCTGGGATCTGGAATGGAACAAGGGCTGAGCCAGCAGAGAGAGGAACGGGAGGGACCCCCGGGTATGGAACAGGGGCTGCAGCTCCCCTCTCACTGCCCACACTCCAGGGGCACTCTGATCCCAGGAGCACTTGGATTCACCTCTGAGAAGGCCAAACTGGGTGAAGGACTGGCCATCTGTTCTAAAATCCCAAGGAATGGAGTGGGAGTAACTGCCACCATCAATGACAGCAGCATCAATCCCCCAAAGAATCAAAACCTCAAGGAGAAATTTGGGAGGGTGCAGGGAAAGCCGTGGCAGCCCCGGCTCAGCCGTGCTGGGGAATCTCCACCCTGGGCAGCCACGGCCCCAGCTCACTGCAGCCAGCAGGAGAACAGCTTCCAGAGGCAAAGGGAGCTCAGCCATGGAGCCAGGGCTCTGAGTGCTTTGGGGCAGCTGGGGCTGCTCCTCTTCCCTGGCAGGGGCTGGGCTGGGATTGCCAGAGCAGTTGTGGCTGCCCCTGAATCCCTGGCAGTGCCCAGGGCCAGGCTGGGCACTGGGGCTGGGGCAGCCTGGGACAGTGGGAGGTGTCCCTGCCATGGCACTGGATGGGATTTAATTCCCTTCCAAGCCAAACCATTCCCTGACTTCACCCTGGGCCATGGGATGGGAGCCAGGCCTGGGGCAGCCCCTCCCTGCCCCCTCTGTGTCCCCTGGGGCACCCAAAGGTGTCACCTGGGACACTCCAAGGCCTTCCCAAGCCCTTCCAGGTCTCCTTTATCCCCAGGGGAGCTGGGTCACGGCCTCACAGCTCCCAGGGAAAGCAAGGCAGGACACTCCATCCCCAGGAATTCCTTCTAATTAAGGCTCATGGATTAATTAAGCCAAATAAACCACTAACACCTCTAACTCCACCAACAAGCAAACACCAATTGGAGGCTGCAGTAGTGCCAGGAATTTCTGGAGGAAAGGGAGGAAATAAATGAAGAAATCAAATGTTTTTTTAAAATACAGCCAAAACCATTCACCAGGCCACCGGAAAGGCTGAATGCACAAAGAGTTCATTCCTCATATTAGTGAGAATAAAATTAAAAATGCAGTTTAGTTTTAAGGGTTTCAAATTCAGAACTTGGTGTTTGATCACAGAGTTTGTTACTGTTCTGCTGTTCTTCAATCCAGGCTGTACCTGATGAGTCCCTTTAAAAGGACAGACAGAGATGTCTGTGCCAGCTTACAGGAAAAGGCATTCACCAAATAAACCAAAATGCTGACCATGAAGGAAGAACTCAGTGCTTTTTATTTGAGTGGATTCCACTGGAATAGCTCATTACCCTCCCATCAAACCCCAAACAGTTGGACATGAGCACACCTGAAATGCTGAAGATGAACCTTAAACTATGTCTCAAGTAGTAGAAACAGATTCAGGCTTTTCACAAATGTTCCTCTTGAAAAGAAATTCATATTTTCATTAAAAAGTAATGGCCACTAAATCTGATATTTCAGCACTGGTTTATGATTTCCTGTACTTGCTGCAGAGCATTTTTTCTAAAAAGCAATTTCCATTACCTGTACTTTTCTGTTTCATCCCCTGACCTAGTTCCTAACATATAAGAAAATGATATTGTCCCTATTTGCTCGATGCACAGCCCTGTCTGATTTAATCACCTTCTGCAAACCCCGGTGCTGTTATGAAAGGCAGCAGGATGCAGTCACCTGGAGCTTCAGGACTGCCAGGGAACAGTAAACACAACCTACTTAGGAGAGCCTCAGCAGCAGGCACTGCTCCTGATTACATTTATCTAGCCTCCATACCTTCATTTTTAATTAAAAGGATAATACTTCTGGAAAAGTCCCCTCAGCCTTTCCAAAACACTTCAGTGTCGTGTTACCCAAACACAGCCATGGAATTAATTCCAATTAATTGCTCAGGAGCGCTCGTGGCTTTCTCCAGCCCAGTGACTGGAGTTCAGAGCTGACAGACTTACAGCCAGCAGATAAAAGACAACTGGCAGAGTTATCCCACCCTGCAATGAACCTGCCAAGGGCACAAAGCCTTCCTCTGTTCCCAGGTATCTCCCACAGCAAACCACAAGGAGTTCCTGGAGCCCGGGATGAGCTTAGAGCCTGTTATTGGAGCTCTGACAGAGCTGAGGACTTGTGTACAGGGCAAAGAGCTGTTCTGTGCCAGCTACACCTCACTGAAAACTGCTCCTAATCTGTTTTCTGTTGGCACAATAAAAAACAAAGGCTCTAAACTAATGCCCTGACCTAATTATTTTAGCGCAGATTTGCAGGGGTTCTTTACCAAAGAAAAACACCCATAAATAACTGCTGGAGTGGCTTTTCTTTCCCAGGGGAGGAGGAGAGGTGGCAGAAACCTGCTGCCAAGCAGACAGGACCTCCACAAACAGGGACTCCAAAGGTGCATCCCCTCCACGGAGCCCCCCAAGTGCTCCCAGCCTGCCCTGGGAGGGGTTTTAGACTGGGTTTTACAGAGCCACACTGGGCTGGAAGAGCTGCACCTTCCTCCAAAACCCTTGGCTCCAGCACTGTCAGGGCTCAACAGAGAATTTGGGTTGGAAGGACCTTAGATCCCCCCCAGTGCCAGCCCAGCCATGGCAGGGACACCTTCCCCTGTCCCAGGCTGCTCCAGCCCCAGGGTCCAGCCTGTCCTTGGCTATCCAGGGATCCCTTCCCAACGTGCTGGGGCTGAGCTGGTGTGAAGGAAACGAGCCCAGGCAGTGCCAGTGAGGCCCCACCACACCCCAACCCCCTGCTCTGTCCCAAGGGGATCCCCCAAAGCAGGAGCAGGGAACAACAACAGCTCCAGGACAAATCCAGATCTGTGCTGGCCGGGCACTCGGGGACCCTGGGCTGCTCCAGATCCTCTCATTCTGGAGGACCAGAGCAAAGGGAGGCAGAGCAGGGCAGGAGGAGGCTCTGCCCCCCAGGCCCTGCTGCAGAGGGGGCTCAGAGGGACCCACAGCAGGGCTGAGGCCAGGCTGCCCAGGGCAGAGATCCTGCAGGGAGTGGAACACAGCCAGTGTGCTCCAGGGAAGGGCAGAGGATGATCAGAGCATTCCCTGCTCTGTTCCAGGAAGGTCTGGGTTCCCCAAGTGTGATGCCTTGAGGAGTGTCCATGCCAGTATTCCCAATATAACTTCCAGGAGAAAACCACATTTAGTGTCTGCCAGCTGGGGAGGCTCTGGAGCTCTGACTGGCACTGAGCTTTAGTTATTCTCTTGTAAAACTTCAGAGTCCAGACAAACTAACTCTGAACCAGGCAGGAAAGTGCATTTTGTGCAATTCCTTCCTGATGTTTTCTCACCTGGCCAATAAAGGAAGGAGAGCAGCAGGGACACTGCAGGGCAGGGTGGATTTTAGCTGATCCTGTCACTCTCCAAACCCAATACTGCTCAGCCCAGTAATGATCTTGCCACCAAAGTTCTGTTTAAGTTTGTATCAACTCATTCACACCCTTCCCAATCTTCCAAGGACATGAGACACACTGAAAATCCACTATTCTTCCCGGGGAGCCAAAAAATCCAATACTTTGTCTTTTTTTTTTATAGCTGAGTTTTCTCCTGTTACAGCATTTTTCCTTTCCTCAAGGTTATAAAACAAGACCTCCAGTTTTTACTTTTCAACTAATTTCACCAAGAACAATTTTACTTTTTATTGAGAGATGTTAAAATAATTGACTTTTCTACATCAACCTGCCACTCAGTAAGTGACTGTCAGACAGAAAGGATCATCCACTAAGTATGGTTTGGATCTGAAATTTTTAAGGCTGAATATCAGTTTTTCTGTTTTATTCAGAGATAGAACCTGCCAGGAGTGCACAGAGAACACAGCACTACCTAAACTGTGTTTTCTCAAAGAGTGGCTGTTATTAGCCAGCAGTCATACACAAAGTTTGGGGAAAAAAACACAGCAAATACCAAAAAAATCAGCTTTTTTCACCTGCAGTAACAATGAGTTCCTCTGTTATCCATCCAGACACAGCCCATCATATATTCACTTCTCTATCAAACACATTAATTACCAAGCTCATCAGGAATCAAAGACAAATTAAATACACACAGAATAATTTGTACAGATGGATTTTTAAAACAGGATTTCAAACTCCTCCCAGCCTCTTTCTCACAGTCAATACTCTGTGGCATTTGGCATATATAGAGAAATTTAGCTGTGATTTTAAACTCTTTTTCTGCTGGTTCATTTTTCTGTGCCTTTTCTCTCATCTCCAGCAAAGATGGTAAATGCTTACAAATAATTTCATTTAAGCAACTATTAATTCTCATCATTAATGTGCAAGCAAAAGAGTTGGGACTGTTTTCCCTGAATTATTTATGCAGGATGGGCAGAAAAAGACCATCTACACATTGCCTCAAACAGGAATGCCAGTTCCTGGGAGAAATCTCCAAGAGGCAGGATGCCCTCCCTTGGTACTGATAACCCACCAGGCAAAATTCAGTGGAAAATTCCTCACCCCCAGCACTGGAGTGCGTGATGTGGGATTTACTGGGGCAGGGATGGGTTCCCACTGTGCCTCCCCTCAGGGGCTCAGGGTTCAGCCAGGTCTGAGAGGGAAATGTGGCCACTGCCAGAGGATTCCCTGC